ATAGGTGGTGGCGCCATCTATCGTAATGATCTATCGTCCCTTCGGGAATTTTTCCAAGCTAAATCGTACTGTCACCTGTATGGTGCCTCAAGGCTAAGGCCAACGACTGGCGTACATCTCACCCCTTGCCGCGATGAATCTCGTGGGCCTCGATCTGACTGGTGGCATTAGAAGCAACAATAACAACTTTTGCTTTTTCAAAGATGGATATTACTCCGAGGGGGGAGAAGCGTTCTAGAATAATCGCTCTTAACGAACAAACTTTTATGACTGTGAGAGATATAGCTACGACAGTTGGTGTGGGCAATTCAAGTGTTTCACGAATTTTAAAAACATTTCAAGATTTCGGAACATCCTCTCTAAAAAGAAGAGGAAAATGTGGGTGCAAGCAGAAAACTACTCCAAGAACCGATAAAATTGTAATAAGAAATTGCAAAATAAATCCGAGGAAGACAAGCATAGACCTTCGAAAGAAGTTATTAGAGTATAGTGTTGAAGTGAATACCTCAATTATACGCAAAAGTCTCTGGATGTTGGTCGTAAGGCAACAAGCTCAAAAACAAAAAAAATTCTAATTCAGAAAATAATGGAAAAATGTTTAACATGGGGCCAAAAATACCGATCTAGGACTGGAAGAAGGTAATTTTCAGTGTGATGAAACAAATTTATTTGCTCAGGAACACAAATCAAGTGTGGTAAGACAAAGTGAAGGTAAAACTCTGTTACCATATCATATCGAACAGATTGTAAAACACCCTTCTGAAGAGATGTTTTGGAGTTTATCCACAACAAATGGCACTTGAAATTTAGTTTCTCTTAAATACATGATATATATAAATTCTGTCAAATACATATAAATATTACTTAGTAGGATTGTTCAATTCATGATAACATTTGATGGAACATTTCAACAGGACTTGACGCTTTGTCCCAATTCGATATCAGTTCAAATTTTTGTGCGGGAAAATAAAATACAACTGCTTGTTTGGCCTGGTAATTCACCAGACCTATTGAGAATTGAAGACGTATTCCCAAGAATCTTTTCGCTAAGATGAATTGTTCGGCAACAGTACAGAGAGGATAAACAAGTGTAGTTCCTAGATGATGTAGTCATGAACATGCGTGCTACACTGGTGAAGTTAATACCAAAACGTGTTCAAGAAGTCATTTCTGCTAGAAGAGTACATACTTCGTACTAATATAGACATTTTTCAGTCTACTTGAAATATGTAATGATTAAAAGCTAAGGTTTTAGAAAAAAATCCTTTCTTCCCTTTTGTCCCAATTAATTCATACATGACATTAAATTTATCAACGTCCTTCACATTCTTTAAGCAAAAAAAATATTTTAAAAGGATAAATACCATACATGAAACTCATAGAGAACTTCAAAATAAAGTAGTAATTAAATTTGCTTTAATTTTACGAAAACGAGAGAAGCTAGTTTAAATCACGGATTTCTCAAATGTGACTTCTAAATATACAGTGAATTTTCATTCTGTGCCGTTTATATCTTCAATAATAACAAAAAATGTTTCAAAATATATTTAATTTTACGCCAATGAAGTAAATTAGGGAGATAAACGTTGTGAGCTCAACAAAAAACATGAATAAATAAAATTATTAGCATGATTTAAAAATTTTCAGTTTTTAAACATAATCCATAGTTGTGAAAAATTATATGTGCTGATTCTGTTTTATGTTGGTCAAAAAGTTAGTTATGAATATAGGCAGATGGTTCACTCGTAGAAAAGAATATTATTCATAATTATGTTTGGACATAACATGACATTTCTAAAGGCATGGTCATCATTCACAATCAGATAAAGAAGTTAAGAACGTAAAAACGTCCAGGGTGGCTGAGTGGTTATAGCATCAGGTCCATTCCTTTCGGTGCTGGCTCTTACACCCTAAAGTTGATTGAAAAAAGGTCTGGTTATTAAACAGTTGTAAAAATTAGTTGAATTCGTTGTTATGTACAGTTAAGAGAGTTTATATGTACGTGTAATAGCCACCAACGAATGAAGGTTGACCTGATTAAATCGTGGGTTCGAATCGCACCCCTGGCAGCTTATTTTAAAATCTTTTATACGAAAATTGATGTGTGTGAAATACTTTTAAAAATATATGTAAATACACACACGTGCGCATGTGTAAGCTCTTTTTTAGTATTATATTAGTCGTAAAATAATTTTGGAATTTTTTTTTCTTTTTTTGTTTAGTGCCTTCTACAGTTTCATATTACATTAATAATAACACAGACTTCTTTTAACTTTGAACAGTGATTACTACAATAGGTTTATATCTTGTGTTCCAAACTTAAGCAACACGTCAAAAGAAGACTCTAAGGCCGATTGATTTAACATTCAAATAATAAAGCAATAATCCAATGTAATTCAATAATCCTAACCCCATTTTACTAAGTTTTGTTTTTTAATCGAAAGTTTTGTATTCACTCAGAATATATTACACAAAAGCCCTCGTAGCATGCGCTGTTCGTTTCTTTATAATTTTAGTTTGTGTTTATTTCCCCGCGTTCATTTCGTAATATGTTGTTTTGTTTGATACATATGTAATATATACACAAGAAAAATATCTTAAGGCATCGTAAGACTTTCATTATTATCTTGTAACTGAGCAGCAACTTATTTTTTATTTGTTATTCTTAATACTTCCTTACATAGTTATCAAACAAAACTGCTCTTCTCTACCAGAATTTCTGAATCTATCATAGACCTTCGTTATAGATTTCAGCAGATTGCGTTGAAAATCATTATTCCATCTTTTGCATGACAGCATTTGTATCGTCAAATCTCTGATCCCACATTGCTTTTTGAGTTCTAGGAATAAATAAAATGTTGCTCGAGTCGAAATCGGGAGTATGTGGCAGCCAATGTTTCAAAATTTCAAAAAAATTTTGAAAAACTTGTCACAAATTGATTTTTGAACTGCATTTCGAGAGGAGGGTGGAAGTGTATTATTGGAAGAAATAATCATATGCGTCATTTCTTGATCAAAACATCACGCAATTTGTTTATTTGAGAATAAAGTAATAGCTCTCGTGATGGTCTGACACTTCTTCAAATCGTATAGACCAGGGATGGATCAACGTGCCATTTTTTCTAAAGAAATGTTTAATGAGGTATAGACGTGCCGTCAAATAATTTTGACTTGGGATTATTGGGAAAATAATTAAACTAAGTACTAACAACTCAAAATCCTATTTCGAAAAAATACATTTTGGACCTTATAGTGGTAAATATTTTAGTTGTACGTGTAATTCAATTTAAAGTAACATTAGCGTGATTTCTGCTGATGATGAAAAATATAGCAGATTATTCTGCTAGATGAAAAATATGGCAGGATTGCGAGATGTTATTTTTAGCAAAATGCATGATGAATTGAAGTCACCTGTAACAGTTTCTAAGCGAGTTTTTATTCTATTCATCTCTGAAAATAATAACTCGCAGGCGCGGGTAGATCTAAAATATGGCTAAAATAGCATGAACCAGCTTCTTCAAACAGTTCAATGTGTCTGGAATCGAATTCCATCTTTCCGAAATTCTATTATTAGCATTTTTACTTATATTGCCTGTTAATCTTTCTGCTTCAATCAATTCCAACTTTCTGTTTTCTTAGACAAATTTTTGAATCCATATTAAACTAGACTGGAAATTAATCAGTTGCATTTCAAAATTTTCAATTTCCAACCAATCGAATTGGGACAAGTTCAGTTTACTATATGAAATCTCATCAGGGTACATAAAAAAGCTTGAGCCTTTGCGATAATTCTTTGAACTGAGAAAATCTCGCTGAAAACTGTGATTACTCGCGTTTGTTCGTAATACTTCATAATGAACTTTATTATTTTGAATTAAAATGCAAACCGTTTTGATCGGTGTCGTGCCCAAAATATTGTGTAGCGTGGCATCAATGGTACGCGTGCCAGTGGTTCGCCATCCCTGGTCTAGACTCCTCGGCAGTTCCAGAAACAGACAGTATGACCTACTTTGCAAACTTCTGCACCTTGGTCATTTTTGTGGGTGCGTCGCTATACTTCCCTCCCTTTCTCAATTCTTTGATTTCCAAATTATATTTATAGTAACCAAGCAACAATCCAAAAACTCTTTTTGTCTTGCTCTAAAAGATTCAACGTCTTCCTTAAAAGGTTGCACTGCATTTGCTTCTGAAAAGATATCAGTAAACATGGAATCCATCTTGTTGATATCTTTGACATGCTCAGTCCTTGTAAGTACAATAATTTTCCATACACTACTCTGAGGTCGGTATCATTTGTGATCATTTATATCTTTGCGCTTCTGTCTAATAAGTTAAAATCCTCCACTTTACTTATTGTATCAACATTATCCATGAGTTATGGTCTACTTCTTTGATCATCTGTACGAAATATGTGGTCAGTTTGAAAATTCCTTTTTTAAACCGCAAGTGTTATATGACGGACCATCAATTTTATAGTCGATTATCATTTCATCTTGGACACTGTAATCTATAACATGAAGGAACTTGGTTTTACACAAGGTACTTCTACATTCCCTATACTGCAGGTTATTTTGATCTATGGCTTCCCGAAACTAAACAATTCAATGCTTTTAATGATTCTACATAAATTTAAATTTCTAAATGTCATTTACTCATAGAAATAAGTTAAACGTTTAAAAATGCTTAAAAATTAAAGATAAAATTTTAAAAGAAAATGTGTGGAAAAGTGTCTTAATTATGTTAAAACCATGCTTGTCTAAACTTAACTCATGAATTATTCAATTATGTCTTCTTAATATTCAATGAATTATATTCAAAATGCTGCCAACTACTGAAGTGAAACTTCTATTGCATCAACAACCCTGATAACAATTGTGCTAATTCTTTCAAACCGTAAGGTATCTCCGCCCTCTTTAACAAGAGAGATTTCTAAATAACGCTTTGACATCTCTTTTCATTTATAAAGAAGTCATTACAATTCAAATTCGGATGAAGACGTGAAATATTTATCAAATTAAATGATAATTTTACAATGCCATACATATTGAGTTCAAGAACTATTAGCATACCTGTCATCCGACATCAAATAAAAGAATTCTTTTCAGTTCATCATACCCAAATGTTAATGAAAAGTTACAGAAATTCCACTGTTTTGTTTTTTTTTCCCTTCTACTGGAATATCAAACAACAATCTTATCATGTAAATATGCCGTAGCTCAATTTATCTACTGGGCTACTGTCATAGCTCACGTGTTTAGAATCCTAACCCAGTTAAAATGGCATCAATGGAATTTTAGCATACAATGGCATTGAACTTTTTCTGTATGGTGAAAAGGCACAAATTCAAAAAATGTCACCGAAAGTATCTCCCAAGCCTCTTATCTTACAACCTTCGTGAAAATTACTTGTCGTACGTCAAACGTATGTTTTTCGCCCTGGAGGTTTGAGGGCAAAAGAAGATAAAACACTTGCTTCTTGTCAGGTTCATTTGTGACACTTATTGGCCTCTTTAAAGAAAAATAAATGCAGATGGCATGTGACATTGATATTTGCGAAATTTCGTCTTCTGTCTCGGGTCTGGCTGTTTCTTTCAAGGCCTTGAACTTTTTTCAGGATAGAAATATGAATAATGAGTTGTTTGAGAGAATCATTATTTCTGGTGGCAGTTAACAACGTTTTCTTGGTCGTAAAATTAATTTATGGCTTGTTGGTGTATATGAGAGCCTCGCTTTATTAAGTCGTAAAATGATGGAAGTATTTGCTGCTGGGAGACATATACAATATGCCATTGGTAAAGCTAAATTTTCTGCTTTAAGCAGTTTTGCTTGAAATGGAATTGGGTACATGGTACGATTTACACAATTTTTTTAATTTAATGATTTTCATACTTTTTGGGGTTACCTCCTATGTGTATGTATAATGTAAAACAGATTTGGTGCTCAAAATTTCATAAAAAGGTAACCATTTAATTTTTTAAGGGAAAAACTTGAAACTTATGAAGTGATTTTAAAAAATGCTACTCCACCTACAAAAATGAACGCACATATGTGAAACTTAATTTGCAAGTACGTCCAACTATGTATAACAAAAGTTGGTATTGGTTTTGTGATAACATGATTGGTATTCGTACAATACTTCTTTTTATCAATGCTTATTGAAAATTCCTTCAAAAAATGTGTAAATTCTAAATTCTATTAGTTTTTTAATAAATAAGTATTGCTTTGATATTGAAAAATACATACCAACTTTTATTACATGTACTATTAGCAAAAAGTGAAAAGCATTTCCAAGTATTATTCACAATATAGAAAAAAAACCTTAACAGTTTAAATTAAGGAAAACTAGTTATTTTATCTTTCCGAGATAAGTCAATTTAAAGTCTTGATTTGCCATTGGGATGTGAATAAAAACAAACGTAAAAGATATCACAATTCTGCGTTTTTTTAACTTAGAGCTTTCAAATTTTGCAAGTTTGTAGAAAAGCATATAAAAAATAATGTAGACTAAAAAAATTAGATTTGATTTTTTGACCGATTTTTGTCAATTTAATCGTACTGTGTCCCCTTGTAAATAAGATGAAACAAATCAGTGTTTTACAGAGATATGTGAAATGTGTAACTTACAATTTATTGTGATTTGAGCACTATCTTTGGAACATTTTTTACATTAATATATATGTATATAATTATTTTTAAAGAGAACTATATACCATTTCTTTAATAATAGGTTGGTTTGGAAAAGTTTATAGTTGGAATTTTATCAATCAATTTTATGTTTATCAATTTTATTAATTTTATAATTGGAAAGTTGTGCTTCATTTTCAGGAACGAAGCATTATTTGTATTCAATCTAAATAATTTAATATGGATTTATATTTTTCTTTATTAGAGATCAACGCATTTTTCCTCAAATTTATTTCTGTCAAATCCGTTGCGAATGAATTACTAATGTGAAAAGGCGAGTTTTCTCATAATTTCGCTATATTGTAAAGTTTCCTAAATTTATTTTAACATTATATATGAAATAGTATTGTTTATGCATATATTCAAAATTAGTTTACTTTTAAATA